AGAGCTCTTGATGAGATAGGAAATGACGGAGATTTGTTTTGTAAAGTGAGATAGAACAAAAAAACATCCGGAAAGCTTTTTAAAATTCATTTCAGAATAACAGAAAGCAGTGGTGTAGCTCTGAGGTCAGCCCAGCTGCTCTTCTCTAAGGCTTAACCAAAGCGACCTGTAGGAAGATGAAAAACTTTTTTCAGAAGTATTTTCTAAATAGGACAGCTGATGTAAAAACTAGTGTACAAAGCAACCAGTTTATAATATGAGACCAAATTCTTTTCATGCTTAAGCAAATTATCAGTAGGAACTTTATGTCCAAGTTCTAAACAATTTGGTCAGCTTCTGGTCAGCCCTGAAGTGGTCAAGCAGTTGGACTAGATGATGGTTGTAGGTCTCTTCCAACTGAACTTTTATATTCTAAAGCAGATGGAGCTTAAAGCCTCTTTCCCAATTTCAGTAGCAGGAACAATCTTACTTTTCTGCATGTTATAGCCTGTGCTACAACCAAGTTTAGAAAGCTGTTTCCAGTTCCTTTCCAAGCCTATTCAAATATAAAGTCAATAAGAAGAGTTTGTATTCAGAGTGTATTGTATCTTCTTTTTTGCATGCATCGCATTGATGGGACTGCCAGTTATGTTCTAAGGGTTTGCCTTGTGAGGCAGCATCAAAATGAGCATTCATTTTGTCGTAGAATCATCGAATGTTGTGAGTTGGAAGGGACCCTCAAGGATGATGGAGTCCAACTCCTGTCCCTGCACAGGACAATCCCAACATTCACACCATGTCCCTGAGGGCCTTGGCCAAATGCTGCTGGAATCTTGTCAGGCTTGGTGCCATGAGCACCTCCCTGGGGAGCCTGTTCCAGTGCTCCACCACCCTGAAGAACTTTTTCCTCATGGCCAACCTCAACTTGCCCTGGCACATCTTCCTGCCATTTTCCCTGGTCCTTTCACTGGTGGCCAGAGAGAAGAGATCAGCGCCTGCCCCTCCTCTGCCCCTTGGGAGGAAGTTCTAGACCCCCAGGAGATCTCCTCTCAGTCTCCTCTTCTCCAGGCTGAACAAACCAAGCCGTGTCCCAGATGCAAAAACCGGCACTTGCCCTGATTAAAATTCATGCAGTTGTCATTGGATTTGTTCAGAGACAATATAAGAAAGGGTGGCAAATGTGTCCCGCTACGTATTCACCATAATTGGTTCTGTGTAGGTTCCGTACCCAAAGTGATCGTTACAGCCTTTTTAATAGGTGAGGTTTAGTAGTCAGTGTTTCTTTGATCACTGCTATTAGCCATCCTGTCGTGGTTTTACACGTTTTCTGCTTCTTAAGACCTAACACCTACCTGAGGATGTAAAATGTTCAGTGACGTTTTGTTTCAGGTAGCTTCTATCATCATACCAGGTGGAATAAGGTCTGTTAGCTGACTGGTGGTTTGAGACACCTGAAAACTGGAAGGATGTTTTTTTCAGAAGCTCTGGTGGCATTCTGGCATCCTGTGACAAATTGTATTGCTGTGGGAACCCCTTAACCAATTAATTAATTTACAAATGGGATTGGTTTTTTATTGCATATATTGCTTTTGTTAGGAAATGTTCAGTGATGACATTTCTAGAGTAATTAACTCTGACAGCACTTCAGATTGTGAGCGAATGGAAATTAAGAAGCCTGCAGGTTAATGAATTTACTTTTTTATTTAAGAAAAAGGTGGAAGGAATGGAGAAATAGAGTCCATGTACAGTGCATTAGATGTCCCTCTACAGACAGATACCTTTTGGATGTTACTAGAAGGTTCTCTTTTTATAGAGCCTTGTATTATGTTTCTGTCCCCAAAACTATTTCAGAGTTTTTAGAAGGATGTACTATCTAACTATACATGGAAAATGCTATAAGGTCTTTGTTGTAGCTCCAACTCTTCTGCCTTCTGTTTATGACTCCGTGGCTTTTTGCTTCTTAGCACTTAGCTACTGACACAAAATATTATGCCCTTGTTTTAAAAAAGAGGGGAAGTGTAGTCATAGTGTGGATGAGTTTAGATCTTGAACAGAAGTTATAAATTCTATGTCTGTATAAGGGGAGTTGAGAGAAATATGAATTACATGGTTTATGTGTCTCGGACTTCTGCCAGAGATGCCAATTCAAGTGTAAGATGCCTTGGTTTCTGTTTGAGCAACTTTACTGCTTAGTTCTATGTCTGTTTCTCCATTTATAGAACAGAAACATCAATTATTATATTAAAATGTGCTGAAGATCAAAATAGTGTTTTTATTTGGGCTCAAGCTTGTGAAGAGGTAGTTAAGTAGTAGTTTATTAATTATTAGTATTTATTATTAGTAGAGGTTATTAAGTAGCAGAGGTAATGTGCTTTCTGCTAATATTTGTAAAGCTTTTGGGTTCAACAGCTGAAAGGGGAGAATGAAAAGGAAAATTCACCTTTGGAGTACTAGGGTCAGTTTGTTTGTTACATCGTTTATCTCTGCTTTCCAACTACTGGTTTTTTGCAACGGTTGTCGTTGAAGCTGCAGGCTCTGGGAAAAGGCCCGGCTACAAGTAAAAGCAAAGATGACCTTGTGGTGGCAGAGGTAGAAATCAATGATGTCCCCCTGACGTGCAGAAACCTGCTGACGAGAGGACAGACTCAGGATGAGGTATGTTCAGGATCTGTGTCTGATTTGTTAGGCTTGGCAGATGGTTTGTAAGGTCAAAAGAGCTTTCGATAAACTATTCTGTGATTGTTTCCTCTTTTAACAAAACTCGTCGTGTTTTCTCAAACACTTTGTTTAGTACTTTATTGTTTTGTTCAATCAAATGTCATGTGATGAGGTAAGGTAGCAGAACTGGTATCCCTTAGTGGGCACCATTCATTCTCTTACTGCTTTATTAATGACCTCTGGTCTTTTTTGTATGACAGCATAGCTTAAACCTCTTTGGGTTTTGTGTGTGTGCTTTGTGTATTATTGGTAAATTTCTCACTGTTGTTTTTTTAATGGTTTGTAGATAAGTCGACTGAGCGGAGCAGCTGTTTCTACCCGAGGGCGATTCATGACTGCAGAAGAGAAGGCAAAAGTGGGACCTGGGTTTGTATTTCTTTTGGGGGATTTCTGGTTTGTTTGGTTTTTTTTTCCCTCCTTGGCTGGCTATGTGGTGGGGGTTTTTTGTTTGTTGTTTTTCACGAGCAGTATCACCTTTGGGAGCCAGAGCAAACTGACTATTGAGTGCTTCAAATGTGTTTACCTTTATGATAGTAGCTGCTTTCCTACCTACTTAATATTCGTGGACTGAAATAAAAAACAAACCAACTACAACTGTGACAGACCAAACTATACTGAACTTCTTCCCACTGAACATTGTAGTGGCTCTCTTGTGCATTTTGCTGAGAATGGGCAGCTTGCCAACTACAGAGCTAATATTTCATAGACTCAGTATTTTTAGTTAACCTTTCATGTGGACAAGCAAATTAAAGCTTTTCATGGTATAACTTTAATAACTCATAATGTAAGTAACTTTTTAGTTTTCAGTGCAAAGCTTTGCTTACTGAGCACTGTGATGTTCAATTAATATGTATTTACTTCCTTATTTGAAGAGTATTTCAAATCTTTATGGAAGACTTTCTGTGTCTAGATGACTGTAATATAATTAGATTGCATCCATTATTGTGTGTTCTCTGTGTGTTTAGTGGAATATTTGACATTTCCTTTCCAGAGATCGTCCTTTGTATCTTCACGTCCAGGGTCAGACACGAGAATTGGTTGACAGTAAGTGTACAAAGCATTCTGCTTTTTCTCTCATTATTTGTGATAAAGGGGTTTTACTACGGGGCTTTGTTATGACCAGGATGGATTTGTATTGCAAGTATCTTGATGTTGATAACAGACCCCATTTAAACATTGATTTTCACATCTCTACTCGAAGCTACCTAAGGTGCTGTGTAGTGCATTAGTCATGAAATGAAAACTTGTGATAGGCTACAAGGAAGGTGGGGGAGTGGGTAGGGTTCCTAGGCAGGTGCAGCTCTTTGTATGAGTTTATTCACTGATCTACACGCTGAGATCCCGTTACAATAGGTCTGTGACAGGGAGACCTTTAATATACAGGTATATTAATATAAAAAATATATAAATAATACCTTTAATATACAGGTATGAACATTTTTTGTGTCATATCTATATTTCCATTAGAAGCACAAGGAGCTCCTGTCTTGTCTGTGCCTGCTGGAAAAAAAGGAAAACTATTAACTGTTCAGATGTTCATTTGTTCTTTGTATCACTTCATGGGCTTGCCCTCAGTTGTCTCTTGATTCTCACAGCCACTAAACAATTTTTCACGTGTTAGTTTGCTCATTCATGCAGATGTAAATTCAGTACTGGGTTGATGTAAATGATTTAGCATTTGCTAAAATGTGTAGGCTAAAGCTGCCCACCTGCGTGTATGAGCCTAAGCTCATTATCAGAGTGGGAGTGGAGAAAGAGCCTTGATGCTTGTTGCCATTCTTGTGGTCCAATCCCAGAATTCTAATATCAAGCCCCACCATCAGATGCAATCTTTTTGGCTGTAGACTTGTCACAGAATATGGGAAAGCAACACAGTCATTTCATTATTTGGTTAATCTGGGCAGTTGACAAGGGGTGAAATATAAATGAATTTCATATTCTGTCAACTAGGAGCTGTTAACCGAATTAAAGAGATAATTACTAATGGAGTAGTAAAAGCAGCCACAGGTTCTAGTCCAACGTTCAACGGAGCTACAGTTACTGTCTATCACCAGCCAGCCCCTATTACTCAGTTGTCTCCAGCAGTTGGCCAAAAACCTCCATTCCAGTCAGGGGTGAGTAATTCATTTTTATGAATTTCATTTAGTATTGCTGATTACAAGATTTACCTATTACAAAGTATACATGTAATGTACTATTTATTAAAAAACAAACAAACAAAAAACCCACAAAAAGCCCCCAAAACAAAAAAACACCCCCAAAAAGTGAAAAAAAAACAAACCAAAACCTTGTGTGTTGTGGAAAATGGAGGACTAATCAGACTAAGTCTGAAGAGTGAGACTTAGATGCCAGTGGCCTCCTAAAAGAAAAGAGATGGAGAGAGCAGTCCTACTTACAGAAGAGCGAAGGGCTGCCTGCGCCATCCAACACTTAACTGTTCTGACTGTCATAGACATAACATTTCTGGCCTCCAGTGAAATGAACATCCTAATTCTTAGAGTGAAATAATAAGCTTTTATTGTTACATTTACAGATGCATTATGTTCAGGACAAGTTATTTGTTGGTCTGGAACATGCTGTACCTACGTTTAATGTGAAGGAGAAGGTGGAAGGGCCTGGTTGTTCCTACTTGCAGCACATTCAAATTGAAACAGGTGCCAAAGTCTTTCTTCGTGGGAAAGGCTCAGGTTGCATAGAACCGGCATCGGGCAGAGAAGCTTTTGAACCCATGTACATCTACATCAGGTATGAGGATTTTTATTTCTTTAAATAAATTTTAAAATCTCAGTGACCAGTCATGAATGTAGGAGATTCTTAATTCTGACTGATTTAATGCAAATGAAACAGTTTTTGAACCTGACTTTTATTTTAATAGAGATCTCTCTAAAGTGATAAATAAAAGATATCAACCATATGGTGATATGGTATAAAGTGATATTCAACCAGAAGGTATTGCTTCTAGTGGGAGCACAGTAAAACTGCGTTCTTTTGGGGCTTGGGTTACGATGTCGAGCAGGAAGGGAAGAACGCAAAATGAGCATTGACCAATCAGGTCGGGGTTCTGTGCTCGTTTCTTGCAGTATTTATACTACCCTGAATTTTCATGTAGAAAATAAATACTCATCGTTTTTGTTCACAGATGTGTTAAATAGCTGCAGAACTGCTAGACTCCTGTTGAGGTGACTGATCACTCATTAAAGGGTTAAGACCTGACAGCAGGTTGCTGATGAAAGAAGTAGCTCCCAAACGTGGCAGAAACATTTGTGCTTACGAGGTATTTTTTTATGTCTTTTCAGTCACCCAAAGCCAGAAGGTTTGGCAGCTGCTAAAAAGCTGTGTGAGAATCTATTGCAAACCGTGAGTAGCTCTTAAAAATACAAGATTTCAGAGCCTGTTGTAGCTTTAGTGTGTGCCTGGCTAATTTTTTTTTTTTTTATGTTCTCAGCAAAACTGTCCATGTGTTTTGACTTGCTAATAGGCTTTTCCTTCTAAGTACTGCTGTCTAATTTTTGTACAGTCAATAAACATTTCTCGGGATGGAGATGTAGCAGTGAAATTTTAGGGGAAAAGATGCAAATGCTTCCTGAGCAGAATTAGGGATGGGGAAGAGCAAACATAAAGGAATCCTTCTGGTTTCTGATTGTTATAACTTCCCTTGCTTTAGCTTTAAATGTTGTCCAGAGCCACACTGTCTGCTTTATATTTATTAAAGTGATTTTTGTACCAAAAAATTTTAGAGAATCTCTCATATGTACACATAGAAAAGTAATTTCTCAGCTTTCCTTGTATGAATGCAAATAGAGTAAAATCCTGTGAGACTATCTTTCTCTTAGTATTGATAATTGTGTATGGGGTCCAAATCTCTTTTGAAAAATATGTGGAAGCTTTTAGGTTCTCTGACTTTGAGTATTTTGTCTCTGCTGACTCCTTCCTGTGAAAGATTATCCTGTATTTTACATAAATCTGTCACAGAGATCAGCAGGATTAGTGGGATGTTCAGCAGTGTTTTGGTGGTGGATTTGGTCGGTGGGTTGGTTTGGTGGTTTGTTTTTTTTTTCAGTTTGTTTGGATTATTCCTGTCTTTGTGCATAGTATATTCTGTAATCAAAGTCCTTTTACGGTTTTCTGGCGATGCATGGTAAGATGCCTTTTGCCTACAAACGGTTAATACAGTAAATAGATGTTTATTGTCTGTTCTTTGTAGGTTCATGCTGAATACTCCCGATTTGTGAATCAGATAACCACTGCAGTACCCTTAGCAGGTAAATGCCAGCAATAATGAAGTCTTTGGAGTTGCATTCTACAGAGCTGTACTTACAGTTAGTTTTATGGAATGTATTTACCTGTTGAAGTCTTAAGTCTTTCTTTTGAAAAGGAGTCTAGCTTCTCTTACATTTGGTAATTAAATTTGGTACTTTTGTGGCTCTAACTGAATTGCAGATGACACTTTTTTCCCCTTTATCTCACCAGGCTTCACGCAGCCTGCTGCTATAAATAGCGTACCTTCTCAGCCATCGTATTACCCTTCCAATGGGTATCAGTCTGGTTATCCTGTTGTTCCCCCTCCTCAACAACCAGTTCAGCCACCGTATGGTGTACCAGGCATAGTACCACCTGCAGTGCCATTGGCACCTGGAGTCTTAACAACGCTACCTACTGGAGTTCCGCCTGTGCCGACACAGTACCCAATACCTCAAGTACAACCTCCAGCCAGCACTGGCCAGGTACTACCACAGATTAGTTATTTGCCCTATAGTTGTCAACTTAGTAAGCTGTTTCTGTGCTAACAAAATACTTAAAGTAGTTCCAGATAGATAATTTTTCTTTAGGGTTTTGTTGTTTGGTTTTTTTTGTTACTGCTTTGCTGATACTTCTGTCTTAAGCAACTAAATTGTTGGCATGGCTGCTTCATACTGCGTTTTTCATATCATAGCCACCTGTTAACATAAAGGATATTTGCAGGGGATGGTCACTCGTTTGTGAAAGGTGTGATGCAGCTATGTAGGTACAGTGAGTTTGAGTTGATTAGTTTGAGGTTGGAACATTCTATAAATTAAATACTTTTATCTTTAAGTTGTGACATTCCTTTTAGCTTCTCTTAGGTTCTGCAAAGAGAAAGTATTTGTAATTGGATGTGAGGAAGAATTTATTTGCTGAAAGGGTTCTGAGGCATTGGAAGGGGTTGCCCAGGGCAGTGGTGGAGTCCCCATCCCTGGAGGGATTGAAGAGTTGTGTAGACACAGTGCTGAGGGACATGGGTTAGTATGGGACTTGTCAGTGTTGGGTTCATGATGGGACTCAATGAGCTTAAAGGGCTTTTCCAATCCAGGAAATTCTGTGATTGTGTGTTCTGCTCCATGTATGAAACTACATTGAATTAATACTTTATATGCATGTTATCAAATTTTCTGTTTTGTTTTCAACTTCTGCATGCCAGAGTCCACTGAGCAGTCCTTTTCTTCCTGCTGCCCCTGTAAAAACAACTATGCCGACTGGTACACAGCCACAAGTCCAGCCCCATCCCCAAGGTCAAAAGAGACGCTTCACTGAGGAACTACCGGATGAGAGAGAGTCGGGACTGCTGGGATATCAGGTGGAATAAAATCAGCAATTTTACTTCATTCACCAAAATAGAACTTGGCTGGAGAGAGATTGTTGTTAGCACAGTTGATTTGGCAACAGTTGTGCAAGACCTTTGGCAGGTGGCAATTGTTAGAAAACATCAAGACCATGCTTTGGCTTCTTTGAGTAGATGCACTGTTCTTGAACCATGACTTACTTGATTCATTGGCAGCTTTGCTTTCTATACCCTCAGTCTTTTGTGAAGAATAGCGATGCGTTCAGGTCAAAGAGATGACAATAGCATGTTACTGGGTAGTTTAAAGGGAGATTATTTGGGTTTTTGTTTGTAGTTTTTGTGGGTCTTTTGGGTGGGCTTTTGTTTGAAGGGTGGGAGGAAAATGTGGTAATAACTTCCAGATTTTCCCATTCACCTTTCTTGCAGGTTGCACTTGAGAGGATTTCAAGAAGCCTAGTTTTAAGAGATTGATTTTTTTAAAAAAAAGTTTTCTTTAGATAGCAAATGTTAAACTATTGATTTTAATACTAATAATTTGAATTCTTCAGGCTTGTATGTGAGAAAAGGGTATTTCTACAAGTGCTTCTCTGATGATACACCTCTGCTTACAGGCAGAAAAGCTTATTAAAAGCTTTGCCTAGAGACAGTAAGGAACTAACTATATGTTAGACCTAACATCAGTATCTCAAGCAGAGTTTACTGTGGCATGAGGTTTAGCAGTATTCAGAATTAGCTGATTGAGGAACTAATAAGTTGATCCATGAACTAGGCAGCTATCTTTACTGTCCTGAACTACGGAAGGGTAGAGTAGGTGGTGAGGTGTCTTCCATATTGGTGCTCAGGCATGTTTCTTACTACGTTACCCTCAGTATTTTTAGGAGAAAGCATTTTATTTAACAATGGCGATTAGCAGTTTCTTCTGCTAGTTGGCAAAATGCTCTGAAAAGTTGGGTTTCCTGTCATTATCATTAAGGAGGTGTAGCTTATGTTGTAGTTGTAGATTTGCTAATGCCGTGTGTTTTTCTGCTCATAGCATGGACCCATTCATATGACTAATTTAGGTACAGGCTTCTCCAGTCAGAGTGAAATCGATGGAGCCGGATCGAAGCCAGCAAGTTCCTCAGGAAAGGAGAGAGAGAGGGACAGGTGAGTGATGAAAGAATTATGTTCAGGTCTTTTCTGATTCTGATGGAAAGCACATGTCAGATGTTATGTGTTTCATGTTCTCTTCTGTGACTTGAGGGTGAGTGGCTTGTGTTGGTTTGATGGGGGGGTGGTGCTTGTTTATTTTTGGGAGTTGTTTTGGCTTTTATTTGTTTGGGGGTTTTTGGTTTTGTTTTTTGAGAATGGATGCAAGGGTTACCTTTCCATGCTACAAAATTTCCACTCCTCCCTAAGTCTGTATGCTCTTCCTTTGTCTGAGTCTGGTATTTTGCCAACTTCTTGAGATAACAGGATATTCTTGTGAAATAGGTTAGCACTTACACTTTAAATTATTACAATTTTAAAACAAATCTGAAAAAGTTGTGAACTTGAAATTTTGCAGTCTGAAAGTTTTGGGGAAAGATTTACTTGATAGTCCCTTTTGTTTCCTGACCACTATGAAATACCTCAAGGGTACTGCTAAAGTTTTCTGTCTTCTCCATCTTGTATGTAGTCCTAAATTCAGCATAGCTGTTTGAAGCCATCAGGCATCACTACTCTTCCTTATGTTCTCCAGTGCATTGAGTCACAAAAGCTATTGGGCTTGCACTTTATTTCACAGCATCATAGCATGATTTGAATTAGAAGGAACCTTTTAAGGTCATCTACTCCACCCCCTCTGCAATGGAGAGGGATGACATCTCCTAGATC